GTCATACAAACTCAAATCACAATCGTTGAATAAATAATTAATAACATGATTAGCTAAGTTATAAGCCACATATAGACAGGTTTTAAAGGGGCAGTGTGACCAGTCCTCAGCAGGTAGACACCGTGGGAATGGGAGCCCTGCCCTGAACCCATATGTATCCCTTCCAGAACTGGTTTGAAACTTCATCTGGAGTGAACTAAGAATAAGGGAGAGGCTTTTAATTTCTTTATGAGGCACACATGGGACAAATATATTCCAGATGTCATATTAAAGAGGAACTGAGGGGTTGGAGTTGTGGCTCAGTGGTAGAGTACTCACCTAGCACGTGCAAGGCTCTGGGTTTGATTCTCAGCACCACATAAAAATAAATAAATTAAATAAAGGTTAAAAAAAGAGGAACTGAGCCCTTTAATAACTTGCAGTTTCTACATATGATTTGAGGTTCTCATATGCCATGCACTAATCATGTTTTGTCTCCCCTCAGTCCTCTACTTCAGTTGATATGATGTATCAYGTAAGAAAACAGCTGTGAAGGCTTCTCCAGGTAGAGTTGCCCAATTAAACAAATAAAAATATAGGATGCGTGGTTAAATTAAAATTTCAGCTAAAGAAAACAGAAATATCTACTCAAAAACAAATCATTTTTGTATAACTATATCCTATGAAACATTTTCAATGTACTAAAATATYTCTCATTATTTATCTGAAATTCCAATCTAATTAGACATCATGATTTTGTCCTGCAGCCCAAATCCAGTTTGCTTTCTGCCAAGAATTAGGAAAGCATGGTGTACCCTACATGTTTGATATAACAAATTGCACCGAAATATAGGTAAATGAAGTGAATGAGACCTTCATTCAGAGGCTAATAGGAAATTCAGAGGCCAATGAGAAAAATAACTGATACAGATGAATCTGTGGACAAACAGGCTGATAGCTGCAGTGCTCCTTGCTTGACCCAGGTTTTTGTTAGTAGCTACCACTCTACATGTACCAGGGCAACAGAGTGTAATAGTTATGAGCAGGAACTCTGGAGTCCCATGTTCTTACCTCTGATTCCTTGCTCTGGCTCATGAATCGAGGCTTGAATTTTATTACATAAAATGAGGGTGATGTTGGCAGCCTCCTATCAGTTTTATTAATATGTTGTATGCAGTTGACACCTGACCAGCGTAGGCAGCTCATTATTAATATTAGCTAATTAATGCTGTTTGCATGGTTAAGTGTCATTACCCTCTCTGGAACAGCTCAAAGTAGAATACAATGAAATAGAATAGAATAACAAGACTATTATTCATTTTTCCCTTAATATGTTCCAGGTTCTCTGCTAACTGCTTCCACAGATTTCCTCATTCGATCCATATAACAACCCCAAGAGATATCATTATTCATTATTCCTACTTTATAGACATTGGATCCAAGGTTCAGAGAAACTAGGCAATCTTAAACCAAAGCATCACCACAGTTTGGCAGTGGAAAATCTGAAAGTCAAATGCAATTCTGTCTGAACCCAAACCCATGTTCTTAATTACAAATACATTCATTAAAATTTCCCCATGAGATTGCTACCCAAACACAATTCTTTCTTACCCTAAGAAAAAAATCTGATGATTTTCAATTAAGTATGAAAATATCCTTGGGAATTAAAGGATATCTTATTCTTTTCATTTGCATACCTTCTTTAAAAAAGTTACAGTAGTGTTTTGAAGRAAGATTCCCAGGTTTCTTTGCCTAGCTTGAGTAAAATCTTCTCTTTTTAATTTTTTTTTTTTTGTAATTGTAGATGGACAACATACCTTTATTTTATTTATTTATATGTGGTGCTAAAGATTGAACTCAGTGCCTCACAAGAGCTAGGCAAGTGCTCTGCCACTGAGCTAGAGCCCCAGCCCAGGTAAAACCCTCTTTCATAACCTCTTTCTCCTCTACCTAAAGTCAAATCCATTTGTTTATGCTCCTYAACTGTTATTAATATGGCCCAGAGGAAAGGTTCTTTACAGCTTATCAAACATATGTTTAATATATGTTATCACATATATCCTTAAAATAGTACAAATAAATAGGCAGGAAATTGCATTATGTCTCAAGTTTACAGATGAAGAAACTGATGCTCAGAGTGATATGTCATTTGGCAGTCACACAGATGCTAACCAGCAGAGCAATTATGGAAGTCCAGGCTTCTTTCCTCAAAATATTCTTTAATTATTTTTTTTCAATACAGGATTGTTGGATAGCTTCTATGTACAAGGCACTATGTTAGAAATCAAACCTCTCTCAGTGAACAAAATAGGCCAGAACTTTTCCCTACTGGATTTTAACATCTCTTGGAGAGGGACCCATTAAATCATCAAATAAAAATATTTAAGGTCTAAGAAGAAATGAWCTAGTTTGTAAACGATGTTAATCCAAACATTTTATCCTTGTTATAAGGATATAAGTCACAGGAAATTTTCACCAAAAATATAAGGTGAAACCTGAAGCTGAGAGGAACAAGCCAGGAGAAGAAACTAGAAATGAACATACAAGCAGAGAAGGGAGGATGGAGCCTGGGCAGCACTAGAGGGCCATGGGAGGAGGTCATGGTACTGGTAGGCAGGGAATCAGTGACCCTGAGCCTCAGGACAGTACTATTTTCTTGATTCCAGAACAACAACAGCATAGGCCTTGAACTTTGCAGGCCCCGCCCAGGTGACCTCCCTGGGAGGCCAGCAGAATCCTATCCTAAGTTGCAATATCTGGGAGCTTTTACTTCCTTGTACTCTGCTCYTGTGGTTTATTAGAGAAATGCCTTCGGGCACTACCCTTTCCCAAACAAAGAGCCACAGTCAGAATTCACAACATGGGCACTTGAACTTCATTCCTCCACTAGTCCACTGGACAAGTGCAGTGCTCGATCATAAAGAGTGTACCTGAAGGCACAAATATAACTTTCTGGAAGTTTCCTAAGGTGGTACTATTTCTAGATCACAGGCTTTTGTATAGGAGAGTCTGGCCAGAGTCTTCTTGAGGGGCCTGGTTGGAGAGGCCTGGGAAGGTGGTTCTACTCAAGGTGCAAGCAGAGCTGCTGATTGCTGTCAAGGCAGTACCTTATAAAGTGGGCGGGAATGGGTCTCTCCCTAACCCTGACTCTGAAACCTGGACCAGTCTCAGTTTCCCATACCCCAGTTAATATCCCCATTTCTAAATGGCCATCTGGCACTGCACAGCTTGATTTTGGTCAGTCTGTAAGTTTTAATACCTCCAACTCCTTGTCCTTACCAACTGAACTTAAGGCATTCCTCAGGATACCCAGTTTTATCTAGACCAAAGCCACACTTTACCTTCTGGAGTGTTTACATCCAGAAAGAAGGGCATTTTACCTCTGGGAGACATAGCAGCATCTCAAACCTAATATTGAGTTCCACCAAATGCCAATGAATTTAATTCAGTTGACTATGTTTTCTTTTCGTTCCTATTTGAAAGATCGTAAGGCAGACTTAATTTAAAGAGGACCATTGTAATAGATACAGGGACAACTTCAGTGGGAACCTGCAGTGCAAAAGAAAGATTGAACTCAATGTTCACACAAGAAGTCTACAGCCTACAGGGGGAGACATTTAAATGTATATATATCCTGCATGTCACAGTATCATTTATCTCTGCTTGGAAGATCCAGAGAAGCTGTGAGCAAGTACARTCAAAGCTAAAACCAGTGCTAATCACTAGACTCCTTGAGGATTCAGAAATATAACACTTTGCCCCTAAGAGATCCACAGGTTAAGAAGCAACCTAAATTCCATTAACAGAGGAATGGATGAAGACCATATTTTTTATGGTCTATATATATGAGGGAATACTATTTTGCTTTAAAAAGAAAGGCAAGCTTGTCATTTATAACAGCATGGGTGAAGTTGGAGAATATTATGTTAAGTGAAATAAGGCAGAGTTAGAAAATCAAATATCATCTTACTTCTTTATGAAATCTAAAAAAGGTAAAACCATAAAAGCAGAGAGTAGAATGACAGTTACCAGAGGCTGGGAAGGGAAATTAGAGAGACATGTGTCAAAGCATATAAAATACCCATTAGGAGGAATAAATTCTAGAGATCCATTATATAATACGGTGAATATATTTAATAACAATGAATAGTATATATGAAAATGGCTGAGAGTAGTGTTCTCACCATACATAAAAGGAAAGTGTGTGAGATAATGAACATGTTTGATTTAGCCATTAACCATGTATAAATACTCTAAAATATCATAATATGTGCCTTAAACATATATCTATATGTTTATTTTATTGATAACTTGTATTTGTAGGTAGATAAGGGAATGGATCAAGAGGCTGAATGAGAGGAGAGCTAATAAAACAGTTCAAACAATGGGTCAAGGGTTTCATAGAGCAGGTGATGGAGAATGCAGCTTTTTCTGATCTAGGGCGGAATGGTTACCATGAAGGTTTCATAGAAAAGACAGAATCTGAACCTAAGACAGCGGAATAAATAGAAAAGCTCCAAGGGAGATGATGAGGAAGGTATCACAGGAAGAAGAGCAGAGGCAAAGGAAGGGTTCTGGGGTGCTGCAGGGCATGCCCATGTATGGAAGGGGGATTGGCTCAGAGCATGGGGAGAGCCCAGCACACAGAGGGTGTAGAAAAAGACCTTGCCAATTTTGTCACTTGCTCCTCAACACTAGTGATTCTGCCTGATATGCATCTGAGCATCCATGCTGGCCATGGAAACTCCCTCAGAAGCTGTACTCTCGGGCACTTTATAGATACACCTGAGAAAAATCAAGAGAGTTTTTCTTTCCCTATTTGAAAAAAAAATATATATATATATTAATTGGTTTTGAAAGATAGGGCAGGGCTCATTAGCAGAGATCCCAGAGCAAGCTGTGCAGACGTCTTGAGCAACCTAGATTCCATAGTAGATATGTCACTTATGTGCCCTATAAATGAAGCAAAGCTTCAGGTGCATCTGAGCAATTTATCTGCATCAATCCCCAGTATTACAAGAATGGCTGTCTCAGTCCTTCGGCTGACAATTTTTCTGGGAATCCTTGTCTTAATCCTGACCTGCCACGCTGCAGGTAAGTGTTTCTGTTCACAGCCCATGAACTGTGCAGCAGTTAGAAGGATGGGCGGAAGTTGGCACTGATTCAGAATATAGTTAGGGAGGGCTTTGGGCACTTGAGAACACAGGACTGGGAGACAAAAGGCACATCTTCTAACAAAGAAAGGATTTTTATTAAAGTCAGTGTCAACTAAAACCTCTATCTTCAATGAATGTATGAAATTTGGAATGATATTTTCTTGTGTGTCATATCATATAGTGACACTATTGTATTATAAGTTCCTTGAGACCTGGGGTATGTTTTCCTAATGATAATAACAAATAATTTTTGATGGTGAAGAATATACACTCTGGAATAAGACTTCTCAGCTGGGTCCACCACTAACCTGACTTTAACATGCTACTTAATATCTCTTGGCATCATACATGCCAGGAAACATTGATAGTTAATATTCCCATAAAGTTATTATGAAAATTAAATACAGGAAAAATTGGAATAGTATTTGTCCATAACAAGTACTCAATAAATATTAACTGTTATTGTTATCAAATATAATCTTAAAAGAGCCTCATAATATGTCTGTGAAGTAAATATGCATGGTTTTATCATTTTCCATCTTACAGGATAATAAACTGAGTTTGCAGAGGGAAGATTACTTGAGCATAGACACAAGTGTAAGTGGCACCTGATAATGACACCTGGGTGTCTAGATTCTTTTCATTATAACTAAATAGCACCTACCTCTTTCATATCTGACCCAAACAAGGCATTATGCAGCATTCTCAATAGCTAATTATTTTGTTTGCAGAAGACTGTGAGTTCCTGACTTCACTCAATTCAAAAATGACCAGAAAACACAGATAGTACAAATGATTAGCAATAGAGTCCTCTGAATGCAAGTCAGCAGCATTCACACCTCCAGGCCCCTCACTGTTCATCRGCACCACACACAGGCAGATGCTACSACAGAATGACTCTAGAGGGGGACAAAGAGACAGTACGGTTCCTTCAACACCAAAAGTAATCAACATGGTGAAAGGTGATATTCATATCATAGTGAAAAAATCCATGTTCTATTTCGTATGAATTCTGAAACTATGGGTAAACCAGTTCATTGGTTTGAGCCTTGGTTTCCTCATCTATAAAATGAGACAATTATCAATTTTACCAGATAGAATGGGCATGCTGTGTGTGTGTGTGTGTGTGTGTGTGTGTGTGTGTGTTATTGGGGACTGAACTGAGCCCAGGGGTGTTCTGTCTCAGAGGTACATCCCCAGCCCAATAGCTCTCTTCTCCTTAAGTTGTCCACACTGGTTTAAATTCATGATCTTCTTGCCTCAACTTCCTGAGTGGCTGGATTTCCTGGCACATGCCAACATGCCCAGCCAAATGAACATGCTTTTATAATCACTTCGAAGGTAAATGGATGGCGTTGGAGAAGATAATGCTAAGTGAAGTTAGCCAATCCCCAAAAAACAAATGCTGAATGTTTTCTCTGATATAAGGAGGCTGACTCATAGTAGGGTAGGGAGGGGGAGCATGGGAGAATTAGATTAATTTTAGATAGGGTGGAGGGGTGGGAGGGAAAGGGAGGGGGCAGGGGATTAGCAAGGATGGTGGAATGTGATAGACATCATCATCCAAAGTAAATGTATGAAGACATGAATTGGTGTCAACATACTTTATATGCAACCAGAGATATAAAAAACTGTGCTGTATATGTGTAATAAGAATTRTAATGCACTCCGCTGTCCTTTTTTTTAAATGTCAATAAAAAAATTACAAATGTAAAGAAAAAAGAAAACCATACAAAATATACAAACATCAGCAGTACTATATTTGTTCAGGTCTTTATAATCACCTTGACTAAGAAATTCAACCAGGTAGTTAATGTAAATTAACTATTTTGTATGATTTGATGATTCGTTTCTAGGAAATAACAATCTRTTGATATTTTGATGACATATTTTAAATTTTCACAATCTCCTCAAGTATTAGAGGAGAAAATGAGTTACAAATCATGTTGTTACATTATTAATAATAGAAATAATAATGCAGCAAACATTTATGTGAGGTTATCATGGAGCCGGTACTATGGTAAATGTTACAGATGGATGAATGGACAGATAGACAGATAGATGAAAGATCTATAAAATATTTTCAATCCTGACAACAGCACAAGAAGGAAATTGAGAGATAATATTTGAGGCTTGTGTGCAAAGCCACGTGGCTAATGTTTTATTGAAGACAGGAAAAAAAAAAAAACTCAGGCTATAGGACTCTAACCCATGTAATGAACCACATTCTAATTTCTCAATATGTGTGTGGTTCACAGACTGAGGCTAAGATTTCCATCTTTATACACTCCAATCCCAGGTTTCTTACATATTGAAAAGCTAGTATTTAGTGAAATATTAAAATAAAAAGTCAATAAAATTAAATTGTTATGCAAATAGATAGAAACATAGAAAAAACTCAACTTTCACATATGGAATTACTACTTTGCACCTGACAATGTTTTCAGAAAAGAAATTTCATGGAGACAGAAATTTATCATGTGAATAATATTYTCTGTGGAGATAAAACATTCAGGTTCAAACACCAGCTCAACCACTTTCTAGATGAGTAATTTTATTTTATTTCCCTGAGCAGCTGTGTTCTGTTCTGTCAAACTGCAATGCTATCCCTGAGCAGACTGAAGATAGAGCAAGTGAAGAAAGCCCCAACCCAGAACCTATAGAATAGGCATCCACACAAGGAGGTCTGGCTCCTTTTTCTCTTGAGGAAAACAAATAAACTCTGGGCACTGTGAGCACCCTGCACTTTATGTGAGGGTCATGTAATGTCTGTATTTGTCCTTTTTTTTTTTAACCATGATTCTTGGATAAAAGCTGTGCACATAAGGATTCTTTTGAATGAAAGAAACAACAACTGGATAAATGAGAACATGACAATTAAGTTTATCAATTTTAGTTTGCAGAATTGAATGCCAATAAGTTTTTAATAATAGTTTATATTTTAGGATATAATATGGAYGCAAGGATGGTAACAAAAAGTTAGTTACATGTCTTTCCATCTGAAGTCATGGGGATGGATACATTATCTAGAAGGTGGTGCTTTATGATTCAAAACTTGTGATTGGGTTTCCAGAAAAAAATGCAAGATACAGTTATATTTTAATTTTAGATAAGTGATAGATAATATTTAATACAAATATGTACTGAATATTGCATCAATCRTTCTCATAATAAAAAATGGTTGTGGTTTATCAGAAATTTAAATTTAACTACACACCATATATATTTATGTGCCATGTCTGGTCACAGCACTTGTCAAGCTATAATAAAATTAAAATACAAAAGTCCTACTTTATTCTGTTCCTAGGCTCATTGTACATATTGTAGCTATTGTCACTCTTCCATCCCTTCTTGTCCGAAAGTAAAAACCACTAAGCAAAGCCCAAAGATCCCAAGGAACCTGCATAACACCAGCCCCATTCTCTGGGTCTTTGGCCCTCACTCTAAAGGGAACTTAAGTAAAGGACTCAGGGCAAGTGGACTACCATTGCGGTCTCAACTTCTTTTAATCCTTGTGAGGTCTTCTGTGAATCCCTAATCTTTTTGGTTTTTCAGCCCCTGGAGGAAAAATACACACCTCATAAGATTGACCATGGACAAAATCATGCAACACTTACAAAACCATTATATACAACAATATTTGGTGATATACAAGTGATAGAATTTGTCACTATTATTATACTACTTTCACTCTTACAAAAGAAGATTGTACAATTCATTACAGAGTGCTTTAAAATCCAGATTTTTAATGCCAGCCAAACATGGGCTTGAATTATATTTCTGCCTCTTCCTAGGTCTGACTTTTAATAGGTTTCTATACCTCTCTCTAGTTCCATTTCCTTATCTTTAAATTGGGATAATAAATTTTTCCTACCTCACAGAGTTGTTGTGATGATAATATGAGAATGCATGCAGATGGTCCATCACCCACCTCTGGTACAAGGTCGGGGTCATAGAGTGCTACCCATTGGTACTCCATCTTCAACATTGTTATTCCTACCATAGGCGTGGGGGTTACATGGAAAGCCAGACATTCTGTGTTTCAACCTGGGCACTGCTCCTGCTAACTGCTTAACTCYAGGAAAGGCACTTAATTTCTGTGAGCCTCTGTTTTCTCATCTACAAAAGGGAGCCATTGTCTATCTCAGTATTCATGTGGGTCTGTTTATTTGATTTTAGGAATAGATGAGATGGTGCTTGTGAAGACTTGAACCAAGCAGGAATGAAAAGTTCAGTTTACTATAACTATAGGAGGCCACAAAATTACTGAGAGAGGCACAAAGGGCTCTGAGGATCCCCTACATGGCAAAGAGACTTTCCTTTCTTGTTGCTTTGAATCACCTCTGATATTCTGTTCTGTTTTTCAGATGACAAAGCAGAAGAAAACTCTGAGAGCAAGCCAGAGGATTCAGGCAAGAATCCAGAGCCAGATTTCCCCAAATTTCTGAACCAACTGGGCACAGAGATCATTGAGAATGCATTCGAGTTCATCCTCCGTTCCATGATGTCCCGGGGAACGTAAGCATTGATACCAGCCTTGCTTGGTCCAGTTCTCTGTATATTGAGACCCCATTGCAGCCAGGTATGGTAGCACACACCTGTCATCCCAGCAGCTCTGGAGATTGAGGCAGGAGGATCACAAGTTTAAAATCAGCCTCAGCAATTTAGCAAGGCCCTAAGCAACTTAGAGAGAATCCATCTCAAAAAAATAAAAAAATAAAACAATAAAATAAAACAAATTTTAAAACCTTGCATTGAAATGAAYAAAAAACAAAGTTTAAGTCACAAGTCAATAAATTGTTTTCCATTGAAAAACCTTGCTCTACTTTAAGATGTATTTGGCATCTCAATGAATTGCCCTTAACTCTTTGGGGRGTGAATTCATTCCCATGAAGTGATTCCACAAGATATTTGTTTTACTTTCAAGACCAGATAGAAGGAAAGAGAGCACTGAACCAGGGGACAGAAGGCCAAGGTCTGGTCCTGACTCAGCTGCTATTTTACCAGGTGGTGGTGGACAAGCCTCTCCCTCTCTGAGTGCCTTCCTCGGTTCATCTGTCAAGTTGAGGGAATAAAGGACCCACTAGTGCTGTGAATGGGGTGAAGACAAGGGGTGGTGGTAGGCTCATTAGTGGTGGGTGCTGAGAATTCCTGTGTTTATTTTCTAACTTGAGTAGCTTAAGAGGGCCAAGAGAGGCAGCTGATAACCTCTCAGAGAGCATCTGGAGAAGCTCCCCATGTGGGGTGTTTTTGTCATGCTGGATGGCCTTAGTGAACAGTCACACCTCCCACTGTCCTTCCAATGTTCTCAGCCTGCTTCCCGGTTCCTGTGCCTAGCCCCCAATACAGCTCCCTTCCACCTACATAGCTCTGATTTTACACCATTACTTCACCTCACTCTTCATTCTCCTCAAGCTAATGTCCCCAATTTCAGCTCTCCAAGACCAAGCACTCTCTCTTGTAAACTTCCAGGTGGTTTCCATCTCCTCCTCTCAGCCTCTTCTGATTCTCTCCTGCATGGACCCCTGAACACAGTTTGACAAACTTTGATCTATTACCCACCTGCTTCAGGATCTATCAGACAATTTATTTTTTTWAAAAAAAAACTGAGGTTCCTTTATTCCATCTTGCATCTACCTGAAGGCATCTCCCTTGCTTCTTTGATGAGCTTTCCAGAGGATACTGAGATGGAAGCCAGGCCCCACCAGATGCTCTGGTATGCACTGCTGTGCCTTAAAGTTCCACATAGCCTTTACATTTTATTCATATTTTATGTATGTGCAAATCCTTGCATTTACCTGGAGAAAAGGTTAATGACTTTTATTATATTCTCAAAGATAACCAACAGCAAATACAAACAAAGAACCACCTTGTGGGCATTTTTGTAATCTCTGATCTGCTTAAATCAATATATTTGACTGGACAGCATTTTGCATATGATCCTGCTCCAGAAATTGCTAAAACTCACAGGTGTTTTTTTTCTTTGTTCTAATTAGTTATGCATGACAGTAGAATACACTTTGATACAACAAATACAGATGGAGTATAATTTCTCATTCTTCTGGTTGTATATGATGTAGAATCCCACTGGTCATATAGTTATATATGTACAGAGGATAATAATGTCTGATTCATTCTACTATCCTTCCCCCAGACACCCTCTCTTCCCTTTACTTCCTTTTACCTAATCTAAATTAAGTCTATTCTTCCCTAATACCCCCCACCCCACAATTGTGAATTATCATCCACATATCAGAGAAAATATTAGGCTTTTGTTTTTTTTTTTTCTTTTTTCTTTTGGTTTGGCTTATTTCACTTAGCTTGATATTCTCTAGCTCTATCAATTTACCAGCAAATTCCATAATTTCATTATTCTCTAAGGCTAATATTCCATTGTGTGTGGATTTTTAATATCCATTCATCTATTTTTAATATCCATTCATCTACATTTTTTAATATCTATTCATCTATTGAAGGACACTTAGGTTGGTTCCATAGTTTAGCTATTGTGAATTGAGCTGCTATAAACATTGACGTGACTGTATCACTGTAATATACTGATTTTAAGTCCTTTGGGTATACACTGAGGGAGGGATAGTTGAGTAAAATGGTGGTTCCATTCCAAGTTTTCTGTGGAATCTCGATACTGCTTTCCATAATGGTTGCACCAAATTGCATTCCCACCAGCAACATATGAGAGTACCTTTCCCCCCACATCCTTGCCAACATTTATTGTTGTTTTTATTGTTACAAATCCTATTGTCATTGCTTTTGCAATTGTTGCCTTCCCATGGTTGTTAATGTAAACTAGAAGGAAAGTAATAAGAAAACAATGAGTATCATTCATTGCATGCAAAGTACAGATTCAACTGCAATTGAGTTAATATTATTACATTATCAAAACAGGAAGTTGAACAATGATACTTCTTTTTATTTCTTCCCTTAGATTTTTCTGGATATMAAATGGCACATTTTTCATTGTGTTTAGCCTGAAAGTTTACTGATCCATTAAGGAGTTTCTGTCTAGTCCAGGCTCAGGAATTCCACTTCATTTTCTATACTTTCTCTTTCCCTTGATATATTCTGATCAAATGGCATTCTTTCTGTTGCTGAAACTTAAAATCATGATACGTTCTCTGCCCTCTTACTCTCTTCTATCTGAAATGCTCTTTCCTTTTCATGGTGGCTGATCCTAGAGCTCATCTAAAAGTCACCACCTCAGAAAATTATCCTATGACCCTCCTGTTAATTCCCTCCCCTTACATTCATATTCTCTGTTAGTCTCTAACACTTTACCTCGTCATCGTGCCATTAGAACTTTAGTCTCTTCAGAAATAATTGATTTATTTTTAACTGTGTAGCTAAATGAAAGTAGAAATCAGGTAGATCTGTCTAGTTCACTATGATGTCAGACATTTAATTGATAGCTATCAATTGATTAATTAGCTAATTAAGGAAAGAGATCTTAGAGATCAGACCTAAAACCCATTTACCAACTTGATTTGGAAAATATGAAGGATCTTTGCTCAAAACACAACACTAGCTCAAAACACAAATCTAGTTGATGGCGGTGAGGACTTAAGACATACGCAGGACTCCCTGTGCAAGGAAGGCTACAAATATAATGGGGATGGTGGATGGGAAGATGCCAGCAAATAATGTCGCTATACTTAATATGTGCAAAGAAGAAATAGGAGTTGTGAATGAAACACCTAAACTGTAAAAAATCTGCACTGTAAATCCCTTTTCCTAAATGAATTTTCAGTCCTTATGATAAGTGACATTGCCCAAGGCAATGACACCTACACATGCCTAGCAAGATAAATATCTGTTACATATCACAGGCCATTTCCAGAAAAAGGAACCAATGTGATGAGGGAAGTGTTTAAGGCAGACATGAGATATAATTAGGGCTTTGAAGGATTGAGTGAGATTTGATTCAAAACAGAACAAGAGGAACTGTGAAGTTCCATAAAAATTGGAATTTTGCTTTGTTTACTCCAACATATCTGATGCCCGAGTAGGGTATCAGGCACATAATAAATGTGAGATGCATGATTTTGAGACTCAGGACAGTCCAGGTGTCTCTCCTGCTTGCCTCTGCCTAGGATCTATGCAGGCTTCCTCCCACTCACCATCCTTCTCAGCAATGTACCTGATCCTAACTCCCCTTATTCTTTGAAGAGCCTTAGATTTTTGTGAATATATCCCCTGAGGATTCCATGGCATGATTTCTCATTCTCTCCCTATCTCAAGCCATTTCTTCTCACTCTTTGTTTGACTTTTGTCACACACCCTCACCTTAAATTTACCCTCGAGGCTCCAAATGGTCCTGATTTTTCACTTTGCAGCTTGCACACTGGGAATTTCCCTGTAACTAAGGAGTTTCTAATTCACATCTCTATTATATTTAGTTTTCTTCGCTCCAGACTGAAATGACCAATTTCTTGCTATAAAACTCCACCTAGTTTTTCCACCAACACCTGTAAAYATAAACCTGGCCTCTCTCTCAAAGCCAGGCTCCTCCTTATCCAGGAAGTCACATTCCCACACCTTCAGACTCCAGCAACCTCCAGGTCTTGTTTCTTTCCTGCCCATCACCACCTTCATCCAAGTGCTACAGCGTACTCTACCCTTGATTTTCTTCCTATGCCATTCCTTTTCTTCAACTCCACCGACTAGTTGATCTAGTTGATTCTGCCATGGTCTCTTTCGTGAGTTCTTTTCATTAGATTTCTGTTAGTTTTACCATTTTTTGGTCATTCTTCACTCCAATCTATCCTCTACCTACCACCAGAGCTTTTTATAAAAAATGCAAATTTGGCCACATTTTTACCATGTTTGAAACTTTCCTTGAATTTCTGCTGCTTTCAAAAAGAAGTAAATACATTAGGCTGATGGTAAAGTCCTTTCCCTGATGTGTCTATTTTCAGTCATATCTCTCACCCCTGCAACCACACACCCAACAGCCCAGCAACAGATGATTTGTGTTTTCAGAGCAGATGATGTTGGTGTAAACTCCAGTGTCTTTACACATGCTATTTTTCTTCTTCCAGCAATGTGTTGCCCCCAAGCCCCAACACTACTATGTTTCCATCATTTTCTAAAGTCCAATTCAAAAACAAGGTCTCAGAAGAAGTCAGAAGACCCTACAATTACAAAACTTAGTTTTTCACATTCTAAGATCCCCAAAATGCACTGAAAGGATCTTTATGGCTGCATTTTCTCACATTATTTTAAATTACTTGCATCTGAGTGTGTCGGTTTCCTCCACTAGACTGCAAGCTCTTCACAAACCACATTTTAGTCATCTTTTACCTTCTTAGAAGCTACACAGGTACCCAGACTTTGAGAAGTGGAGGATTTCTGGCATTAGTAATGACTCTGATGATGTACATTTTAAACTTTGCTTTGCAATCTATCAGCCATGTGATTTGAAAACATAGTTTGAACTTTTTGAGCTTCACGGATTTTTTTCACATGTAAAAAGATAAAATAAGAATTCATTCAACAAATATTTAT